TGATTAACAGCTATGATAAAATGGACGGAAATATTTCCCTGGGAAGAAAACAATGGGTCGTTGCACTGTATTAATTGCATTTTATGTAATACAAGTACCAGTACATTTTACAAGAAATTTTACAATTAGAACTCTCCAAAACTTTGCACGGATTGAAGCTACAAAAGCATTTCACAATTTTTCTTAAATATATGTCCACCCGAAAGAAATATTTTAATTGGCGATAGTTAAATAACTCTGATTCTTATAACGAATGGAGTTAATTTTGTGGCGAGTTCTATGCTTACATAATTAACTATATAATATAATGCTTGCTATAAAATTATAGCATAGTAGGATTATTAATGGGAGGAGGCTTGCTTTCATAAAGCTCTGCAAGATTTGGCTAGATTATTGCAAACAGTTTCAGTGGAAACTTTGAATTAATAAGCATTTAGCAAACAAACCTAAGTTTGTTAGAAGTAGCCTACTATGATGAATAAAGCAATTACAATAAATTTTACATTTCGCTGAGGCTTGCAAAACTTTAACCTAACTCATACCGCGGGGATCCCGTGTATTTATAAAATGCATCTGATTAAATGAAAGTCTTGCCACAGGTTATTCAAACGTCTCTTTAAGGAAAGATGGTGCTGGTTTTTGCCAAAGGGACTGCTCCCAGGGGCGAAATGTTTATAAACAGAAAAAAGTAGTCAAAAGCTACCTTGAGCCATTTTGTAGGCCAATCGGGTTACCGACCAACTTTTTATAATCTGATTTTGACAGCTATTAACAGTGTAATACTAAAAGTGCATCGGTGGAATATTTGAGCAAAACTATGAATTGCAAATGGAAGATATTCTAACCGGTAAGGGTAGATAGGTGCAGATGATTGGACAGCCATACTTTCCTATATCTGTAAAAAAGAGGAAAATTACTTTTAGACGCTCTGAACTCATACCAATTCCATATCCTGGCGAGTATCTGGAGCAGTATAGTTTGAACCTGGTCTGAATATTATTCAAGGAACTATAAAAAAGTCGGGTTATGCTTTCTGCCTTTCGGATAAGTAAACCGTCACAGAAATTCGGCGTTATGGCCAAAATGTACAAGAAATCCACTTGAGATGCCGCATGCGAGCAGAGATAGGCGTCCACAGTTTGCTCAGATAACATGGGTTTAATCAAGGCGAGGACCCATGAAGGGAAGGCCTGATATATGCAAGCATGGAAATCAGAGCTTAGGCGATCTGCTCAGTGAACCGGCAGTGTACGCGCTTCTAGGACCCTGAGAAATAGCGCCTGGAGTGAAATGCACACTGAGACTGGAACAGAGTGAAATCGGTCAACCATAAAGATAAGGAACAGATCTAGGAGAAAATAAGGGGATCCGGATTGAAGGCCCTAGTCGGATTAGCCGCTCGAAAAAGAGGGGGTCGGAGTTAATAGCAAGTGTGATGAAGCCATACTCGGTTTGCCACAAAATGCCACACATTTTGACGAGTGGAATGTAAACAAGTGAGAAGTTGTGATAGGGCGAGAGTTGGATAAGAGGGTAAAGAGTAAATAGATAGGCCTAGACAGAAAGAGGAGTGATAGTTTAACGGTTTTTAGCAGAACGTTTGTCGAGGGATTGACTTCACTTGTCTCTTTGACGAGTTCGTAGCTTGGAGCGAAGAATGGCAAAACTCACTGATGATGCCGGTGAAATGTTTGAGAATGTACCAAGTTCATTGTCTGATGCTGGGAATCATGACACCTACTATGGCAGACGAAATCGGACTAGGTGCGTTCTACTAAGTCGCCTTGACAACAACACCAAGTTGCGACAACGAGGTAACCCACATCTCATTTTTAGCCTAAAATTAATTAAGATACCTTGCAATTACTTCTAAGGCAAATTATTTATCCAAGAAAATGATGAAATTAGATCGGAAGAGGAAATAACAAGGGCATTAGGGTATTCTATTGTATACGTAGGAACTTTCTACATTTGCGAGCATATTGCTAAATAGAATAGCGTCTGGTGAAGTTTTGGACACTATTTCGTGATATAGTTGATAATCAGACTCAATCACAGGCTTAGAAATTAAGTGGAAAGCATCCTACCGCATCCCGAATATTTATAACCAAATTTACAGCTCAATGGGTTGTCAAGTGTAGATGAAGCGAAGATAGCCAAGCCATTTTTAGCAGAAGTGGGTATCCAAGTCGTTTGCGGGAATTAGACAATAATTGTACTTGGGGCCTCATTATAAAGGGTAATTTTGATTATCCTCTTTGCTTCATTAAATCGCTATATTTAGATATTTTAAATAAGCTTTGCTTAGCTTCAAATATGATTGAATCCGCCTGGATAAATAATGCAAACCAATTACTTCGGATTATCATACTCTAAATCCCGATTTATCAGCATTGCCTACTAATTAATAACCAGCATATCGAACTCAGGTTATACGATCTTCGCATTCTGTCTCCTTATTAAAAAAATTATTAAACTTTACGAGGATAATATATACAAAAGGGAATAAATGAGTCTTTATTTTTACCTATTCTCCACAGATGTGATATACGAATACCAGTAATTTATCATTACGTTCTAGTCTCGACGGCTAAACTATACTAGAGAAATTGTATAGTCTGTTGCAAAGGTAAAGTGCGGGGCTATGTTCTTCTCGGTCGAGTTCGGATGATACCTCGAATAGCTTTCAGCCGTGTAGTCAATTCGTGATGACAAAGTTATCTGTAAATCAAGGAACAGATGCAAGTTTAAGAATTAATGGACACAAAACATATCAGGACCTTGGACACCAAGACTTTGCTACTAGTCAAGCAAATAATACTGACGCCATATTCATAACAACATGCAGTTCTGTCAAGATAACTATTATAGGCACGAGAACCACATGTTGCGTCAATACTTGAGTGTATTAAACAAGGTAGTGCTTCTGCTAAAATAATTTCATGCTTTCATTTATAGATCTGTCAACCAGAGTCAATACATGGCTGGCCTCATGGTCGATGGAACCCTGAAGATGGAGTCGATCATGACATAGTAAAGCGTCTTCTTCTGATGAGATGGACAGACCCAGATCTTGGTAAAGTAAATACTCGCGAAATTACTGTGCTCCACTTTACAGCACATTGGTCGCTCGATAAGCAGGTATGAAAACCTACCATATATTAACTTTTATTGTACCAAAGATATACTATATTCACATTTCCTTTTATCTCAGCTTCAAGTCAACCAAATTGAATAATCTTTTTGAAGAGACCTGGTTTTATATAGTAATAGTTCCAAATTTCTTAAACAGTCAAGTAGTCTAATTTTTTTGATGGTTCAATATACTTCACAATTTGCATTTGGAGGAGAAGGAATCTCTGATGCTTTTGCAAATAAAATCTTTCTAAACACAGAATAATGGACCGTGATAATCATTTCAAATCATAACCCCGTCATGTACTCTATCGAGACGTGGTGTGAGCCATAAACGATTTCAAATAATAACAGAAGGCTATATCAATTTTCTGGTACTTTTAAAATGCTACCCTACCAAAATAGGATTCAAATAATGAACAGGACATTTTCAGGTGCTTCTCTCGTGTGTTTATGAATCCGCTATTAGAATCTTCCGGAGAGCAGAAGTCATCCGAAAATATTCTTATATTGAAGTTAATCGATATGCATTAGAAGTCTTTAAGGATGGCATCCTTAAGAGATTAGGGATCCTCGGCATGACGATTATGAATACATTGAGACCGGAATTAGCCTCCTTCTAGTGCGTGAGGAATATTTTTCGATTGGATCGACATGCGTGGTATGCTTTCATACTTGAAATGCATGAAAATAGTGCTTATATGAATCTTGTTTATGATTTCGCTTATTCTGCATAAAAGCCTTCACTAAGTGTAGCATCCTCTCTTTTTTAAGCCAACAATATTCGAGTGGAGTAACTCGCGTGAATAAACTCACGAATTATTAAATAAGAATTTAATCACTGTATATCGCTTACGGTGATTTACAGACAGATTATCCCCAAAAAGATGTAAACGGGAATATTCAACTATCAATCCTAACTCGTGGATAGAAGGACTAAGATTGTGCGGCCTTAGTTTTGTTCACCGTCCCCACTAATCTTATAGGGTTGGTTTGAACTCGTATTCACAGCTTGTTCGGAATACCTTGCAAAAAATACCTAGTACTGCGTCCTCTGCCACACTAGGGGAGGAGAGATATCCCGACGGTTCACTTGTCACTTTGGCAAGTTGTAACTCTGTGCTAAGCATGGTGCCTCTCACAGGTGATGTGGGCGAAACGTCTGGGTATGTACCAAGTCAACGGCACGATGCTGAACTCATAATGAATAACATGATAGAGAACGCAGGATCAGGTAGGCTAGAAAGAAGATCTACCTGTTGCTCCAGCCAATTTATAAAACCGAGTTAAATCGTCACTATCAAGCCAAAATCATCTTTAGCATCCTGGGATGAAGCAACTTCATATTTAACTAGTATTATGTCGGGGTTTTTCTAAATGAGGTTGAGTGGATTCCACATTTGATATTGCACCATTGGAAATGACAAATCTTTGTAGCCTCTATTTATGTCGCAGTCACGTTTCGATATAAAGTAGTCGCTTAGACCTCGTTTTCGCAACTTGGTCATATTGACAGGAAAAACAAAGGAACCCACCCTGTTCAGAAATCCTAGTATGCATGATAATCTCCAGGATTGAACCGTAGACGTGTACATTCCAAAAACTTTCGCCGGCATCGTCAGTGAGTCTTGACATTCTCAGCACCAAATTACAACTCATAAAAGAGGCAAATGAAGTCAATCCCTTGACGAACTTTCTGTCGAAATGATTGTGTTATCCCTCCTAGCTCTGTCCTGGCCCCGCTATCCATTTCCTAGCCTCTTGCCTTGCCCTTGCCCTATCACAAGTTCTGTCATGTTTATACTCCACAAGAGGTGAGCCATTTTGGCGCATTTACCTTTGCGTCATCAAACCTGCTGTTTCCCCTGCTCCTCTTCGTTTGAATGGCTGATCCGATTCGAGTCTCCTGTCCGGATCTTCCTCATTGGCCCTTAAGTCAGTTTCTTATCTTTCTGGTTGACCGATTTCACTCGGTTCCAGCCCCAGTGTACTTTTACTCCCGATGTTATTCCTCAAGCCCTCAATGACACGTACAAAGTCGCATCATCGGCAGAGCGCCTAGTCTCTGATTCCCATGAATGCGGATATTAGACAGTACCTTCATACATCATCTCCTAGATTAAGCCTATGTACCCTGAGCAGATTGTGGATATATATCTCTGGTCGCCTGCTGCATCTCAAGTGGATTATTAGTCAATGCTCAATTTCTATGATCAAATCCCTCTTTCTAGTCACGTGAAACGCCAGGCCCCCAGAGTTATAGTTAATTCTTCGAGTTGACTGCACTCACTGTGAACGTCTTCGCTTAATTTCCGAAAATTCCTCACTCTTTTTCCTTGCGATCCCTTTTCCTCTGATTTTTGATAGAACCTTGACCCAAGCGTCTCCGTTTTGCTTGTTCTTTTTCCATTATTCGTTGTTTAAAGAAGCTATGTTGTTGAATTCTTTATTTTTCCGAGTTTGATTAGACAATAGGCAAATTTACCACTAAATCTGCCTTCTCCCAACCTCCTGTTCATCATCTAGGGGTTACTGCGTTAAGGTAATGTCTAACATCCGAAAGCATTGGAATCAGAGCCTGAGCGCTCTGTAAATGAGGCGACTTTGTACATGCTACTGAAGGCTTGAAAAATAGCATCTGGGGTAAAAGTACACTGAGGTTTGAACTGAATGAAATCGGTAGACCAGAAAGATAAGAAACTAACCTACAAGCCCATGAGGCAGATCTGGGCGTAAGGCTCGAGTCGGATCAGTCACTCGAAAGGAAGGGGAGCAAGGCGAGCATCAGGTATGATGACGCCCCAGTAAATTCACCAGAGGCACATCTCTTGTGGAATATAAACATAACAGAAGTGATAGAGCAAGGACGAGACAAGAAGTTATGAATTGGATATAGGGTCCAGGACAGAGCTAGGAGTGATAACACAATTGTTTCGACAGAAAGTTAGTCAAGGAGTTGACTTCATTTGTATCTTTTATGAGTTGTAATTTGGTGCTGAGAATGTCAAGACTCATTGACGATACCGGCGTAAGTTTTGGGAATGTACACGTCTACGGTCCAATCCTGGAGATTATCATGCATACTATGGTCTCCGAATTAGCTGGGTTCCTCTTAATTTTCCTGCCAATATGACCAAGTTGCGAAAACGAGGTCAAGCTACGACTTGGCAACGAAAGGAGACCGCGACTATATAAAAGGCCACACCCTCCTGTTCTTCATACCTACTTCTTCTCGCTCACTATTCCGAATACGCAGTCGGAAGAATTTCTGTGCTGGTGGCTAGTCTTTGGTCCGACGCTGAAAGGAAATTTGCCTGTAGTAACAGAGGATATATTCTCCAATTTCGCCTTATAAACAACTACGTTGGAGAAACTAGGTCAAACTAACTGTATACAGCGAAAAAAGCTCTTTGGCAAAACGTAAGGCCATATTGGCCTTCACACTTAAAAATTTGCCTTGATTGTTTTTTTACCAATATTCACAAATAAATCACTTCATATTTTTGGCAGCTTTGCTAAATGGACCAAAGTTATTTCTACTTTAAAAACAATAAAACCTTTGACTCAATTCATGTAATTAAAGTAAAATTTGTGAATTTCTATTCTTAATCTA